TCACCCCTGGCAGCCCGGATCCGTCCCGCGTGGGGCCCTGCGCGCCGATCACCCTTCTCAGCCCGCGGAGTTCCGCGGTTCCTTCCCGGGAAGCTGCGCCCCAGAGACCGCAGGCCATGCGACACGCGCGGCGCTCGTGGCGGTTTTCCCGGGCGGGGCTCGTGCGGGTGTGTGGAGCGCCGGGTTGTTGGGGAGCAGAGACGCGGCTCTGACCTTCGGGGTCACCCGGGTGGGCGCCCGCACGAATTTTCTTCGCTGTCCCTTCCCCGCCGTGCAGGTCTCAGGCGTTGTGTGGACGCGGAAGGGAGTTGGCTCAGAGTCTCCGTTCTGACGCCGGAGAGAGAGGCCGAGCGCGAAAGGACAGATTGTCCCCCTCGCGTCCCAGCATCTTCCCCGAAAGGGAGATGCTGTCGCTCCAAAACCGTGTTCCATCCGTTTCCTGCGCACAGAATCCATGGTCTGATTTTTCTTTTGCGTTTTGCCTGGCTGTTTTCTGTAACTTCATTTAAGGTCTTACATTTGTTACGCTAACGAGCTTTTAAACTATTGGAGCAAGGCAATGCTGCCTTCTGCTCCCTGTCCCCAGACATATTTTAAAGTCTTTTAGGCAAAAAATCATTAAAACCATAAATACTACACATATAAATACTGTACAGTACTGTACACTATGGCAAAATCCCTCAATATAGCGAAAATCCGCGATAAATAATTACGATTAGTATTTTTTGAAAATCCGCGAAACCCTGCGTCCATGAAAGTCCAACCGTGAAGTAGTGAGGGACTACTGTAAAGGCAGATTTGGCGAATTATGATTGGAGGGTTGAGTGACATCTTGGGCTGCTGACGCAGTTTAAACATTTCAAGTTAAATCACAAGGCCATCAGTTATATAAAGCATGGGTTATACAGGGGAAGAAATTTCTCGTTACTTTTTAAGGTACATTGCAATGTAATCAGTTATACCAAGACAGTAAAGACAGGTTTACACAGAAGAAGTGTTACCAGCTCTGCAAAACACGTCTGCTTGGTCTTGGCAGGCATCCTGAGTAGGTTTTTATTTAAATTTTAATTTTCTCCTTTTAAAAAATGTTTATTTATTTATTTGTTACAGGGTCTCACTAAACAGTTGAGACTCGTAGTGATCCTCCTGTCTCAGCCTCCCCAGCATCGGTATGACAGACATGTGCCATCACAGCCCAGCATGTGATCCTTGTGCTTGTCAG